GAAATACTGGGATTAGGATAGGAATAATTGATAGTTAGAAAAAATTGTATTACTTACATTATTACTATAGAATGTATAATATTCTATTAATTTCTATTAATATTAATTAGAATTACAACGAAATCTTTAGAAATCGAATTTCTAGTTAGTAACTTCTATTGATATTTTTTTTTTCTTTTCGTCTTCTTAGATTCGGGTCGAAAATAGAAGACTTAAGTCGATCAAAAATTCAAAGGAGGTTCATGGCTAAGGGTAAAGATGTCCGAGTTAGAGTTATTTTGGAATGTACCAGTTGTGTTCAAAACGGTGTCAATAAGGAATCGCCGGGCATTTCTAGATATATTATTCAAAAGAATCGACACAATACACCCAGTCGATTAGACTTGAGAAAATTTTGTCGCTATTGTCACAAGCATACGATTCATGGGGAAATAAAGAAATAGATCGAAGAGAACCGTATGTTTGATCTTTCAAAGGAGCAGGAAAAGGGAGAACTTAACATATGTATAAATATATAATACACAAATAAAAATACAAATAAAACCTATTTCGGTCGGATCTGAAATGAATAAAGAAATAGAATTTTAGAGATAAGGAATAAACTATGGATAAATCCAAGCAACCTTTTCGTAAATCCAAGCGATCTTTTCGTAGGCGTTTTCCCCCAATTGAATCGGGGGATCGAATTGATTATAGAAACATGAGTTTAATTAGTCGATTTATTAGTGAACAGGGAAAAATATTATCTAGACGGGTGAATAGATTGACCTTGAAACAACAACGATTAATTACTATTGCTATAAAACAAGCTCGTATTTTATCTTTGTTACCCTTTCTTAATAATGAAAAACAGTTTGAGAGAGCCGAGTCGATCCCTAGAACTACTGGTCCTAGAACCAGAAATAAATAGATATACTCTTCCATTGATTCAAAACTCCAATTGTAACTAAAGCTCAGATTGATGTTTTGTTCGAAAAAGCCTCAAATCCAGATTTGATTGTTGTGTTATAAGAAACAACAAATGGGGAAAGAAGAATTTTTTTTTTTAGATGCTCGTTCATTCCTACTACTTAATCATCTTAATTTATTTTTATTCTATCTTCCCGGAGTCCATTCTCCGGGGAATTCAATTCTGTTTCAATCATTCCTATATATGACTTTAGAATCTCTTTTATTTGAGAATCTTATTGGAAATCATGTAAAGACAATTCTTATTTGATATAGCTATTTGCGCAAGTATTTTACGATTAAGAAGCAATTGCTTCTTGTACAGATTATGTATTAATCTACTATAACTATTGAATACCCCATTCTCACGAGCTGCTGCATTTATCCGAGTGATCCACAAACGACGAAAGTCCCTCTTTTGCCTGCCCCTATCCCGATGAGAGGAAACTAAAGCTCTCATTTTCTGTTGAGTAGCGGTTCGGGTAAGTCTTGAATGAGCCCCTATAAAGGTTGATGCAAATAAACGAATTTTTGTTCGACGTCTCCTAGCTATATATCCTCGTCTAACTCTGGTCATTGAATCAAATTCACTTTAATGAATAACTAATTGATTTCTCTTCTTTCAGTCATCCTTTTATCCCCCGGTTAATTAATAACAAAACGGATTATTCCGATATATAAAATAGAAATTCCAATGGCTTTTGCTACTATGACCTTCCCAACCACGATTTTTTATTCCTTCCGGGTAAAATACCTGGACTGGAAATAATAAATTCTAGCGATATTAAATAAAAGAAAAAAATAGTGGGTTCCATCGTTTCTATGGTTACTTCGTAAACGGTGAGGCCCTCTCTATACACCGGAGCCTCTTCTTTCATTTAATCAAATGTTATTGTGAACTTGTATAGTTCACACTCTTTGGCTCTACCAATCAATTATACAGTAATAGCTCTTTTCACAAAAAGGCTATCCATACAGTGACGGCATTTAATTATGAAAGTTGGCTAGGTAGCTGACCTTGTTAGTCCGTTCTTTCCAGAATAGGAACATAACCTTTTTGCTTCTTATAGTACTATTTCCTCCGCTTAATGGATAACTATTTGCTACCAATGGAGAATTGCTTCTCATCTCAAATTGAGTTGATTGGATTTGCACCAATGGAAACCATAAATTTCATACACAAAAAATAGAGGTAGATGATAGATCTTTATTTTGAGATAGTTTTTCCACTCTATCTATCCTATTCATTGGTACTGGTGATTGGTACTGGAAAAGTTGTTCTGGAAAAATTGTTTTCTTTCTTTTGTTTTGTCCCAGCCCATGATCTGAACGAGTCGCACATACACCCTAGTACATGTTCCCCGACGCTGAGGACATCCTCGAAGCGCGGGGGATTTCGTGATATTTCTTATTGGCTGTCTTGTGTTTCTAATAAGTTGTTTAATTGTCGGCATATCATACATAGTATATAATAAAATGGGTTGGTTTAGATCGATCTTAACCTGATGATTATGAATTATTTCTATTCAATATGAAATCACGGAAAATTCGAATTATGGTTTGAAACGGAATCGCGTATTTACACGAAATCCCCAGTAGTTTCATTTTCGACCGCTACAAGATCAACAATGCCATGAGCTTGGGCTTCTGTTGCTGACATAAAAACATCCCTTTCCATGTCTTCGGATATAACCCATAAAGGGTTGCCCGTTCTTTGTACATAAACCTTTGTGAGGGTTTCGCGAAGTTTGAGTAGTTCTTCCGCTTCCAGGATAAATTCCCCTGCTTGCGCCTCGTAAAAAGAACTAGCAGGTTGGTGAATCATAACCCTGATAATATTGATATAACATCATGCATGAACGGTTCTTCTATCTCGAATGATTGGGCTAAAGTAAGGGCAAAATAAGAAAAAAAATAGAATTGAACATCCGTACAGGCTTCTTTTGTGCATTGCATACGGCTCCGCAATGGAATTTTCTTTTTCTTCCCTTCTATTCTATATCGAAACAAAAAAAAAAGAATCCATCCGATTCAGATCGTTGAATGATCCATTTACCACCCTTCTTTTCGTATTGTAGGAGTCAAAAAAAATACTATGATGGTTCTGTTGCTTTCTATATTTATCTCGTCTGTAATTTAGCAATCCCAAAGTTTCTTTTTGATACGATCAAATAAGGAAAAATAATCTTTTTTTTTTTTTTCATTTTCGTATTCTTTTCTTCGTAAGATAAATATCAGAAAGATACTTCTTTCTGGTGTGGAAGAAAAATGGTTTGTGACGCTGAAATGTACTCCCGACACAGAAGATCAAATCGGAAATAACCTTTGTTTCATACGACTATCTCGATACAAAATCTCATGTTAGGAAAAACAATAAGAGTTTGCTCATATCGAACTCAAAGTGCCATGCTATTATTACCTATTATTCATATTCGATACGGCGAAGGCATAGTCTTCTTCCTTTTTTCAAATAAAAACTCATTGGCGCCAAGCGTGAGGGAATGCTAGACGTTTGGTAATTTCTCCTCCGACCAGAATGAAAGATCCCATTGAAGCGGCTAATCCCATGCATATTGTATGTACATCGGGCGAAACAAATTGCATAGTATCATAAATGGCTATTCCTGGTATTACCCATCCGCCGGGGGAGTTTATAAACAAATAAAGATCCTTAGTATCATCTTCTATACTGAGATATACCATGAGACCAACAAGTTGATTTGAGATTTCGCTGTCAACTTCTTGGCCTAAAAAAAGTAATCTTTCTCGATAAAGTCGGTTGATTAGGACAAAATTGTATCCCTTTTAAACCGTACATGCATCTTTGGATGCATACGGTTCAAAAAAATTGCGAAAAAAAGAATCAATGTGTCGATTCCAATCCTATCTCTTTTTTTTGTAACAGATTTCCATTTTTCTAATGAAAGGGTTCTTCTATTTTTCAAAAAAACATGAGTTTTGGCCCCTTCCCTAAAAAAAAAGAATTTAGTGAACTTATTGAATTAACCTCTCATTGATATATTGTTTCGTCGAGATTCAAATCACGATGTCATTTTCTTGTTCCTGACTGGGTCCTTTCAATTCTTTTAGGTTCATGTTCTACTCCGGGGAAAGATCTATCCAAATTATATTTGCACATATAGGACAAATGATCTCAGTACCACTTCTTTTTACTACGACTTTTTCAATTTCTTTCATGCCTCCCCCAAACTATTCGATGTATTCATCATACTGATTGGCATGGCAGTTTGAGATCGCCCCTATAATTAAGTATAAGAATCGTCTATGCTACAAGTGGTAATTCTACATATATTACTATTACCAATTTGGTATTTTCTGAACGGAGCCTGGATACTTGATTTTCTTAGTCCAAGTCAACCATAAATTCTTATAATTGATAATATTGATCCTCAATAGAAATTGATCTAATTTCACTTCACGCCCTGAATAATTTATTCTTCAATCAATACAATATTTCTTGGGCGAAACAGAGGATATCTCGATCGGTGGAGAAAACGGGTAAATCCCATATGACCCAATATGTCTGACAAGTCGCACTATACGTCAACCCAAACTGCATCTTCCTCTCCAGGACTCCGAAAAGGTACTTTTGGAACACCAATGGGCATTAAATTAAAGAAAAAAATTAAGTACTATACTTCACTTTAATATGGAAACGTAAGAATGAGTTGATTGTCTTCATTATTATGATTTTTCTGTTTATTCTAGTTTATACATACATTGGAAGGTTTTTAGAGGAAGACATAATGAATAAATCAAAATTTTAATGAAGGGATCGTTCGAATAATAAACAAGTATACATGCATTCGTTCCCACGCAATGGGACCAATGCTCCCATTGCGTATTGGTACTTATCGGGTATAGAATAGATCTGCTTCTCTTTGTTCTTACGAACAGAATTCCGCCGTTATTTTCAACGGAATAGAATAAATAGTAACCTTTTCTCATACAGAATCCGCTGAAAAGGTTAGGTACATAGTGCAATGCGATAAAGTTACATAGTGTCTATTTTTCTTTGAGAAAGGGGTATTTCCATGGGTTTGCCTTGGTATCGTGTTCATACTGTAGTATTGAATGATCCCGGCCGATTGCTTTCTGTCCATATAATGCATACGGCTCTAGTTTCTGGTTGGGCCGGTTCGATGGCTCTATACGAATTGGCGGTTTTTGATCCCTCTGACCCCGTCCTTGATCCAATGTGGAGACAAGGTATGTTCGTTATACCCTTCATGACTCGTTTAGGAATAACCAATTCGTGGGGTGGTTGGAGTATTTCAGGAGGAACTATAACGAATCCGGGTATTTGGAGTTATGAAGGCGTGGCTGGGGCACATATTGTGTTTTCTGGCTTGTGCTTTTTGGCGGCCATCTGGCATTGGGTATATTGGGACCTAGAAATATTCTGTGATGAACGTACGGGAAAACCCTCTTTGGATTTGCCCAAGATCTTTGGAATTCATTTATTTCTCTCAGGGGTGGCTTGCTTTGGCTTTGGCGCATTTCATGTAACAGGCTTATATGGTCCTGGAATATGGGTGTCTGATCCTTATGGACTAACTGGAAAAGTACAATCTGTAAGTCCAGCGTGGGGCGCGGAAGGTTTTGATCCTTTTGTTCCGGGAGGAATCGCCTCTCATCATATTGCAGCAGGTACACTGGGCATATTAGCGGGCCTATTCCATCTTAGTGTCCGTCCGCCTCAACGTCTATACAAAGGATTACGTATGGGCAATATTGAAACTGTACTTTCTAGTAGTATCGCTGCTGTTTTTTTTGCAGCTTTTGTTGTTGCTGGAACTATGTGGTATGGTTCAGCAACGACCCCAATCGAGTTATTTGGTCCTACTCGTTATCAGTGGGATCAGGGATACTTCCAGCAAGAAATATATCGAAGAGTTGGTGCCGGACTAGCCGAAAATCTAAGTTTATCAGAAGCTTGGTCTAAAATTCCCGAAAAATTAGCTTTTTATGATTACATTGGTAATAATCCGGCAAAAGGGGGATTATTCAGAGCAGGCTCAATGGACAGTGGGGATGGAATAGCTGTTGGATGGTTAGGGCACCCCGTCTTTAGAGATAAAGAAGGGCGCGAACTTTTTGTACGTCGTATGCCTACTTTTTTTGAAACATTCCCGGTCGTTTTGGTAGATGGAGACGGAATTGTGAGGGCAGATGTTCCTTTTCGAAGGGCAGAATCAAAGTATAGTGTTGAACAAGTAGGTGTAACCGTTGAGTTCTATGGTGGCGAACTCAATGGAGTCAGTTATAGTGATCCTGCTACTGTGAAAAAATATGCTAGACGCGCACAATTAGGTGAAATTTTTGAATTAGACCGGGCTACTTTGAAATCCGATGGTGTTTTTCGTAGCAGTCCAAGGGGTTGGTTCACTTTTGGGCATGCTACGTTTGCTTTGCTCTTCTTTTTCGGACACATTTGGCATGGCGCTAGAACCTTATTCAGAGATGTTTTTGCTGGTATTGATCCAGATTTGGATGCTCAAGTAGAATTTGGAGCATTCCAAAAACTTGGAGATCCAACTACAAGGAGACAAGTAGTTTGATACAAGATTGTTCTGGTATCTTTTGCCTCTCTTTTTTTTATTTGAATTTGAATAAGGTACCCGAGAAATATTGACTTGAATCACCTTCTTTTCTTTGATTCGTTCCCCCTTTTTATATGGTATGGTAAATGATTCCACTCAAACGAATAGGTGTGAAAGCTATAATTGTAAACCACGATCGAATCTATGGAAGCATTGGTTTATACATTCCTTTTAGTCTCGACTTTAGGGATCATTTTTTTCGCTATCTTTTTTCGAGAACCGCCTAAGGTTCCGACTAAAAAAATGAAATGATTTTTCATTATATCAACTGAAGTAATGAGTCTCCCATATCGGGAGGCTCATTACTTCAACTAGTCTAGTCCCCGTGTTCCTCGAATGGATCTCTTAGTTGTTGAGAGGGTTGCCCAAAAGCGGTATATAAGGCGTACCCCGTAAAGCTTACAAGTAAACCAGATATGAAGATGGCGACTAGGGTTGCTGTTTTCATTTTTAGAGAATTTCAAGATCACAATGGATCTACGATAAGATCGTTTATTTACAACTACAACGGAATGGTATACAAAGTCAACAGATCTCAACCAATGATTAAATAGGATTTATGGCTACACAAACCGTTGAGGGTAGTTCTAGATCTAGGCCAAGACAAACTACCGTAGGGAATTTATTGAAACCATTGAATTCGGAATATGGTAAAGTGGCTCCGGGCTGGGGGACTACACCACTTATGGGAGTCGCAATGGCTTTATTTGCAATATTCCTATCTATTATTTTGGAAATTTATAATTCTTCTGTTTTACTGGATGGAATTTCAACGAGTTAGGTTCATAAGAACTACGAAGCCCTAGCAAAAAAAATGACTTAAGACTCGGATTTATAGACCATTCTGGTAGTTCGACTGCGGGATTTCTTTTTTTCGGTATTTCCGGAATATGAGCGTGTGACTTGTTATAATTGATCCTATTGATAATACAGAGAAGGGTCCTGTCATCTCTATCAAGATGATTCTACCCCGTCGGATATTTATTCTAATATCTGGAACACGGAATATATAGAATAGATTAAGAAAGGAAATATATGAACTATGATTCATACCTACTATGTAAGACCTCGCAACCGGACTCAAAAAAACAATTTCGAATGGGTATTTCCTAAATCAAACAATTTTGCTTTCTTTAGACTTATTTTGTCCGAAGAACAACTTCTTTCTCTAGATTTTGTTGAGTCATTACATCCACTCATTGAAGTAAGTGATGATCAAACGGTTTTTACTCAGAGAACCCTTGAGTTTAGCTTGGGGCTAAATCATCGTGGTTCTAGTATGAAT